ATAAAAATTTAAAACTCAAACGCTCAAAACATTTTTCCTATAATGAAGCTTCAAATTTTCTCTATAGCTATTTGAAGCCAAACTTATGGAAAACTTAGGGTTGAATTTTTTAACCTTAGATATAAATACAAAYAATTWTATGAATTTTGAACTACAAAATAATTTACAAATATTCATGGTTTTGACGAATTTTTATCAATATTTGAACTTCAAATTCTAGTAAAAAAAATTATGCCCATGTATTCTTATAATTTATAACTATAAGAATAACTTATGAGGAACATTGTATTAAATTTTCAAGAATTTTGATTGGACCAAAAAAATTTTATCGACACTTCAAAAAAAAATTTTCAGTTGTCTATAAATATCTCAAAAAAAGTCAAAATATTTTGAAAATTAAATCATGTAAATAAAATGCCAATATAAATAACTGGTGAAATTTTCAAGTATCTACAACTTATACTTTTTGAATAATAACAAATATTTGTTTGAGGATAAATCGTTATCGTTACGCTTTTTCGTAAAAATTTAAAATTCCAACGCACTTAAAATTTTTCCTATAATGATGTTTCAAGTTTTCTCTATAGCTACTTGAAGGAAAACTTAGTGTTGTATTTTTAATCCTTAGTTATAAACACTAAAATTTTTATGATTTTTCAGCTTCAAAATTACTTGCAAATTTTCGCGTTTTCGACAGATTTCATAAATAAAAAAAAAAATTATGACTAACGATTTTTAATTTTTTTTAGCTACATTAAGAACAACTCATAAAGAACCTTTTTTTTTACCGGCACTTCAAAAAAAAATTCTCAAAAAAATTGAAAATTTCAGTGGTCTATAAATAACTCAAAAAAAGTCAAAATATTTTTAAAATTAAACTGTATATAGATATCACTAACATAAACATTTGGTGAAAATTTCAAGTATTYAYAGTGATTAGTTTTTGAATTACAACCATRTAAAAAAATCGATTTGGTCGAAAACTGGTTTTGCTTCCCGTTTTTTCTGTCCCTTTTTTTTGTGTTTCTCGAATTTTTTGAAAACTGTTGGGAAATGTTGACTTTTGACCTTTATAATGCACCAAGGATATTCACTTTTACATCGGAAACCATCCTCAAAGTTTGAAATTGAAGCATTATTTCGACTAGTTATGCTGTACACACACAAAAAAAAACACATCATTGTAAAATCAATACATTCATCACTCCGTTCAGAATCTAAAAGTATGAAAAAAAACATTCAAAATATTTGCATTGGATCTCAAAATTCAAAATTAATTGAATTAAATACAATTTTTAACTGCTTCGAAGTCACACCTAAGTTTGGTATATTTTTAAGCGTTTCAATGAAATCAATATTTTTACAAGATTAGGCAAAATGCAAATTCCGATATTTATATTTAAACGGTTAAATGATGCGATATTGTTTAACGAAAATCGCGGTGTAGGCGACCTTGGTATAGCTAGTGTTTAGTACATACGATGTATGTGACTGGGAGGGAGTTCGA